AGTGGTATCTTTTTTATATTTGGTTGGAGAAAGAGTTAGAGAGCATAAGTCATGTTAATTTCCTTTGCACAATAAAATTTCTCACCGGAGTTTTCTTATGTTCCATTACTTCAGTTGATATACTTAAGACGACTACAGTAGACAAACTTCCCAACGATCTTGAAGGAATGGAAGCCTCAATGCAACGATTACTTTCTCTGATTGATGACGTCTACAAATATGTTGATGATGTTGTGGTAACTGAACGTTGCAGTACTCAAATTTTGCACTTGCTCTGCTCTTTTTTTAGTCATTTACCATATTGATATTCCTTTGCAGGAAGGACGTGTGCCACAAGATAATAAAATCGGAAGGTTCATATCTGATACCGTGGCTTCCCTTCCCAAGCTCTCATCTGAAGACTTTGATAAGCTCATTAATGATGGTCTCCAGGTAGTTATTTTTACCTTTAAATTGGATTGCTAATTTCCAATGTTTCCTTCCTATTCCCTCTCCACCCTTCCTAACCAAGTGGAAAAGAAAGGAAAAGAAAGCAAGACTGTAGACATATTATTTTACTTCTCCCTAGCTCTTACACACTGTAGTTAGAAATTTCAGGAATTACCTTTTGTTGGTTATTTGTGGAAAGGAGAAGTACTTCAGTGAAACATCCAATTAGCTTTGTGGCAATTTCTGCTTTGAGCTAATCCTTATAGCAAGTTCTGCTTCAACTTCTAATATAATAACATTTCTCATTCTGTTTAAACACTTTTAGGTATGAGAACAAACTGATGGATTCTTCTATTTTCTTCTTGTCCATGTTTTCTCCAATCCATGCACACTTGCCTTGGCAGCTGGCTCTTCCACCCCTGCATGTTTTTACCCTTACCCTAAGCATCTATACCCCTTTTCTCTTCTTTTTCCCTTCTTCCCAGTTAAAAATAGGCCACTTGAACCTAAAACACCATACTTCTGTTTTCTAATTGACTAACTGCAGCTTGAGATCCTGCTAAAATGGCAGCCATGTTATCACTTCATTGTCATACATCTTTTACTGCGTCTTTAATGATAAAAGCTTGAGATGTATCGATCTTGGGGAAAAGAACCTGGAAAATGTAGTCTTATGGGAATTTCAACTAGTTTATTCGCTCTATAATGCTTTCCATTCCCTACCATTTCTTCTCCTTGTAAAACTCCAGTCTTGGTTCTTTTTTTACAACTTCCCTCTCATCCTGGACCACCAGGCCTTCCCCCTATGTGGTCAGCCCTTCCTCTTTATTCTCCTTTTCTCTTTTCAATTTAAAGTTTTGTACCATAAAATTCCATATTATCTTTCATATTAAGCACATGTAAAATGTTGGACAAAATTCGTGATTCATCATGTTAATAAAATGTAGCACAAGAGTCTAGCTGATCATTAAATGGTCATTTGGTTTAGAAACAAGTTATTCATGGATTGTAATACAAAGATTAATAATGTAGGGGTATACCTTGTACAAGGATTAATATGCATAAATTGAAAATTGCTACCAAACATTATAATAGCAATGCATTTGTTGTATACCTTGATTGATTTGTCTAATACCTTTAACCAAATGTGTCCAAAGTGTTTATGTGCTACAAAAAAGGGTATAGGGCCGTAGTTGCCTCATAGCAAAAAGTTGAAGCGGCTCTATGATTGTTTGTAGAATTATTATGTGTGGCTATGTTGGCCCCCTTAAGTTTCTTGCTTTTTTAAAATGCAATATAAATGCTAATAAGTTTGTCAGTTACCATTGATATGAATGAAGCTCAAACCAGATCAGGTTGCCTGACCCTGAGTTAAACTTTCCTTGCAGGACCAATTGCTCTTGCTCTATTTGGCAAGCCTCACAAGGACACAACTGAGTTTTGCAGAAAAACTCAACACTGCTGCTCAAATCCTGTGATGATGATTAATTCATTCTCGTGTTGTACTGCAACATCAGAATTTTCTCTAGGTAACTGATTTTTGTTCTGAACGATGATGAGGTCGGTCCTTATGAGAGGGAGAATTGTATTTTATAGTTTGTTATTAGTTTTCATGTTTTCGTTTCAGTTTTGTACAAGGCAAACAACATATATGGTGAAGACGGAGGTAGACTTAGCTTACTTGATTCATTTGAATCCTTTTTGGATTTCGCTTTGTTGGAATGGCTGTTTTGATCCTTATTTTGTCACTCTTAGAAAGTGTTTGTTCGATGCGTATGAAGAATTATTGGAAAGGGTAAACATGATATCTATCAATTATAGAGTTTTTTACATCACAATTTTCACATGTAGATATTCAATTTATTTAATAGTCAACACAACACGATGCTAAACAGCTAAAGAGCAAACTATATAACTAACCTTTGTCGAAAACCATGAGCTCATTTGAACGATGTAATTCTCAGTTTTGTTCTAGTGTTCTTTTCTGTCCATAAGGTCAGATCCCACTGTTTCCTTAGATTAGCTCATAGGAAGTAATACAAAATACTGAAGCTTACATTTTAGTTTAGTGGTACATACATGTTGGAGTAAAGGAGTGTTGCGGATGTTATATATTTTACTTTAGTACCTTTTTTTACCCTTTGATACAAAATATACAAGTTAAAGCTCCGTGATGTTTTTGACTACGTCGCGTAAAATGGAATGGCCAAAGTATGAAAGAATCTGCCATGAGTGAATGCGGCAGAATGCTAGAATGCAAAACTCCATTAAAAGTTTCATCGACAGTTAACCATTAAAAAATTTTGAATTCGAAAATCAGGTTTTAGGAAATTGTTATTTATTTGGATAGGGTGTTATTGTAAATGATTGGGAATATCCTTTGGAGTTTATATCTCAATTTTGAGAGAGTTCGGTGAAGATTGAGTTAGTTTTGGTAGAGATTTTTGAATAAATTCGAAGAGGACGATATAAATAATCTGTATATATTTTGTATATCGGGTGTACAAACGACATATAAAATAATACAACTAACATAATTGTACAGAAGTTATATAATTTAACCGGATTCTACACATAAAAAATTGCATGCAAGTTGTATGTTTTGACCGAATTCTGTACAACAAAAAGTTGTATGTAAATTGTATATTTTGACCGAATTTATATATATTTTGTAAAAAAATTCTAGCTACTTTTTAAAAATCTAACTAATTAAATCAGGTAAATATTATCCTAATTTTATATCTACAAGAAAAATTCCTTATTTATACCCATAGAGACAAGCATTTTGTATCAAAATTCCCTTAAAACTTTTGGAGTATTAGGGACAAGGTGCAATTCAACTTTGACAGCTTATTCTTCTATTAATCTAAAAAGGTTAAAGGGTAAAAGTTTATTCGCATCAAATGTTTACACCAATTCAATAAATATATGATACATGCCTTTATAAATACGGTATCACTAAATCATAATTAGTTACAAATACATTCTTTCCTTAATTTATCACTTAACTATGGTAAATTATCATAATTTGGTATAAATACCCGATGCACATACATTTTAATGTGATCTTAAAAATTCACTACCCTTTTCTGTCAAATTTTATATCTACAATAGAATAAACAAAATAATAAAAAATGAAAATAGCATAAAAGATGTGAAAAACAAAGAAAACGGAGTAAAACATTCTCGTTCGTTCTTCACTATCTTTTCTTTCAATTTTATTTGTTTTTTCATTAACTAAAAGTTTTCTGGAAAGTTAATAGTAATACTTACACATATATGACAATTTTACTAAAGTGACAAACAATGTGACAAAGAGTGCGTCAAAGAACATGGAAAGCATAGTGCAAGCTACACTTAGAATCAATATATTTTACTTGTTTATCTTTAAAGCATTAGCTGTAAAAAGGGACATTCTAATTCAAACATTCCATGTGGATGAATTAAATAAACAGCGACTTACCATCTAACGAGTAGATTAACATGTACTGGTAATATTATTTATCGTACATATAGCTCAGTTATTGTGCTAGATTGTTGTGTTTCATGAGATTTACCGTACACATAATATATTATCTTTTTGGTACTTGATTACCTATTTAAAATTTTAAAAAAAGGATAAATAAATGAATTGAGAACANAAAAAAATTCTGGTGATTATATTATATGGTCAAGATTTTGTTGATCAGAAGACAGTTACAACCAAAGAATTTATTTAATTCATTAATTTAAAACACAAAAAATAAAGAAAGAGATAAGTCAGTAGTAAAATCATAGAATTCTCAAAGTGATGACTAATGATTTATTCTAGACTAGTTGACCGGTCTAAGAGAATTTAATGAGGCTGGTCTAGAAGTCGCAGTCCAAAACCTATAGAAGACCATATATAAGCTATTGCTATTAACTACTTTTAGTTCACTTTTATTTGACATTTTTTTAGTTTTCACCTCCCTTAAAAAAATAATAAACGAAATACATAATTTACCATGATACCCATATTAATTGATGCATATTTTATTAGATGTGAGAAAATAATTTGAAATAAGTAATAAATACTGTGGGTATAACAAAAAAAAATTGTCTTCTCTTAATATGCGTAAAGTGACAAATAAAAATAAAAATCTATTTTTAGATACGTACAAAGTGAATGAAGGGAGTAATAATTACGTAGTTGGAAATGGTCCAACTAGTACTAAGGCCTAATGCCTTTGGAGTTTGGATGACTCTTCAATACCTTCCAAGTAGTCTATAGCTTAATTTCTCATGTTGTACTAGTCATACTTACACGACCTCCCTTCCTTTTTTAAGGGTGACATTAGGTTCAATGTAGTGATACTAGTTTAAAAGAATTTCACACTGTTATCATACCCTAAAAATTAATTAGATATAATCATTTATAGATAATATTAGTAACTTAGAAGTAGTTGTGGCTCAACACCGAAATTTGTAAGCAAAAGGTTTATGAACTTTAGAGAGAGAAAGACCAAGATCTCTTTAATTCCAAACTAACCAAATTGCCACTCAACAATGGTCACATCCCCACTCCCGGCTAGAGACCCAACTCCTCGAATACCACTGGAACCCCCCGATATTACTAATGAAGTCCCCCAGACTGAAATGGAGGAAGATAACCCAAAAGAACTCCTTCAAGGAAATCCTGATGGAAAAAAACCCTGAGTTCTTTCATTTCCTATGGGATAAATTTTCCTTTACCACCCTGCACCCATTTTGAATTAAATACAGGAAATATCCAATCCTACTATGTAATGTAGACAAAATCAAACTATACAAATCATGAAAGTACTCACTAATTGTCAAACTGTTTGGGAAAACAAATCCCTCACTAGCTACTGAGAGTAAAGCTCACCCATCTATGGAATCCAATCGAACCACTCATACTCATTGGTCTAGGATGAGATTTCTTCATAGTTAAATTCGGCATTGAAGAAAGAATGAGTATAGTCTTGAATGAGGGGCCATGGTTTGTAGCTGGATACTTCCTATCCGTCTATCAATGGGAACCCAATTTCGTTCCGGCAGAATCAAAGCTTTCAATAACCACAGTATGGATCAGGCTACAACATCTGCCAATTGAATACTATAAAAATCCATTTTGGAGCAAGTAGGCAACAAGATAGGAAAATTGCTATAAATTGATACTTGTACCTCATTTACACTACGGGGAGGTATGCAAGAATTTGAGTCCAAGTTTCGGTAGAAATACCAGTCACTACTACCGTCACCATTGGCACGCATAGCCAGCCAATTGTATATGAAGGGGAGGGGATACTCTATAAGGGATGTGGGCGAATTGGCCATACACTGAGGAGCTGTGAGTTTGCAACCATACCTACCCCAACAAATGACTAGACTGCACCAAGCAGTAGCTCCACTAGTGAGCCTATCGCGAAGGACCCAACATCTCAATAGCGCATAACTCCCTTCTCAAAAAGCAGACGAAACCAACATAAAGGAGATAGACCACAAAGACACAACCAGGGGAAAGGTCAAGAGGGAACAACATCCAGGTAAAGAGGTTCAATGCCTACTCAAGTAAGTTCTTAGACCCAAAATGTAACATCACCATGGGTAACGACAGTAACACCCCAAAAGGGAAGGACTCGGATAACCAATTGGGATCTCCTACGCGGTCAGTGGAGCGCAAAATAGATATGGACCCACAAATGGGCCACCAATGCAGAGGCCCAACTCATATGGGGCATGGGCAACACACACGCACGCCCGCATGCTAATATCACTGGGACAAAAAGGCATCTAATTTCTTCTAACCCAATGTCAAAAGATGCCAATTTGGGAAAAATGGGCAGCCCTCAAAGTCCCACAAAAGATGCCATATACAAGAATGAAAAGGGAACGGACCCCACTCCAAAATTGACCTTGTTCCTCCAAAATCTAGTTCTTTCCCATAGTCTAAGAGCACTTGCAGATGCTTTGACAACCCAGGTCCAATCAAAAGTGGGCCACCCATCTCCTACGATACACCAACCTAACTATACACCAATATCACACACAACCCTCTATGGAAACTCCTCCGATTACGTCTCACCTAGTAGAGGCAATCGAGTACCTGCTCAAAATTAATTACCCCATCTGATCAGTGAGGTGACACTGGTTTTCAATCCTCCAACATTGAGCAAAGAACATAAATCCCCCTACACGGAACCCAACAAAGAAGAAATGAGTTATATTCATAATGCAGAGAGTGAGTTGTTCTCTACAAACAAAACCAGCGTAGAATACAAAGAGAAAGCCACAAATGGAGAACCAAACTCCCCATAACCAACACCAATACACAACACCTCTCACGATCTCCTCTATCCCACTTCCATCGCAGCACACGCCTGGACCGTGGTTAGAGATAGCGCTACAGGGATAGTCCCAAACGTTACAAATGATGATAGGGCCAAGTCTTAGTAGCAATCAACATCCAAAACCACAATACTTAGAGCGTCTAGCGACCCATCCACTGCACCAGGACCCGCCCAATTTTGGCCACCAACTGTGGATGTCAATGTTTCTACAGGCTCAGTACACGGGTACTCAACAACCCCTATCAATTGAAGAGATCAACAGTCTGATGGGCCAGCTATGCCAGACCATGCTCTTCTTCTCACTAATGGACCTAGAAGCACCGATTCCGTCCCCTGCCTTCATACTATGGCCACTAGTAGAGCAAATTCCACCACCACCACCAAACTTTTTATCACCACTGGAATAACTGAACAGGGGGACCAACTAAACCCTAGATTACCTCAGGGAGTCCAACTTAGACCTGGAGAACATACTGGAAAAATTAGGAGTCCCAAAGACAAAAGTCTTTCTCATGTAGGAGACTCAGGAGATAGTGTTCAAATAAAAATACGGAGAAATGCTTATTACTCTTTGCCCCAGAAAACACATAAGCTGCAGGCTAGATCTTCGAGTGCCCTTTTCTCTAAACTCAGGGAGCTCGACAGTAGTCATAAACCATCTGGTGGGACTCGTGAAGACAAACCATGTGGGCAAGGGGAAGGGAATCAAGAGAAAAGCCCCATCTCAGAACACGTTACTGATGAACTTCATAATATGGAATGCGAGGGGAGCGAACAATGCTGAGTTCTACAGACACGGTGCTTCAATGGTCAAGCTACACAACCCAGCTCTACTTGTCTTGCTGGATACAAGAATGACTGACCACAAGAACCTCACTACTGAGCTGAAATTCTCAGCTCAATTCCAAACCCCTTATGTAGGGAAATCTGGGGGAATTGTGGTCATGTGGAAAGATGATCTTGTGAAGCTTGAGGAAGTCTCCACTACACCACAGGGAGTTCATGTCATGATAAAGGTAATTCCATACACCTCTCAGTGGCTATTTTCTGTAATTTATGCTAGTAACTATTTGAATGATATGAATAGGTTTTGGGATTATTTAGAATACATGGACTCTGTTTATAAGGGTAGTTGGCTTGTAGGGACAAATTTTAATGAAATACTAAAAATAAGAGATAAATCTGGGGGAAATATCATAAATAACAGTAAAATAATAGATTCTGAAACTGTTTGAATCAATGTAGGCTTATGGACCTAGGATTTAAAGGGTTTAAATATACTTGGACAAATAAGAGGTACACTAGGAGGCAGGACCTCATCACTGAGAGGCTAATTAGGAGTTTTGCTACAGATGACTCGATTGAAATGTTCCCTGAATCTACTGTTACTCATTTGCCTAGAACTCACTTTGACCACTGCCCTCTTCTCCTTAACATTATTAGTCAACACCACAGTGGTCATAGGAAACCTTTTAGGTTTGAATCTATGTGGTGAAACCATCCCAAATTCCCATCCATTGTGCATGAGAGCTTCCCACCAACTAATGACCTTTTGAGGGTAACTAGTGTGTTAAAAAATAGAGTGACTAATTGGAATAAGCATGTGTTTGAGGTTTTTTTTATAGGAAAAAATACATTCTTGCCATACTAAATGGCATCCAAGAGTCTAATGCTTAACCTTTCAGTAGATTCCTTCATGAGTTAGAAGCCAATATCCAACTTGAATTCTCAGCTATCCTAAAAAATGAAGAGGATTTTTGAAAGTTGAAATCTAGAATCAATTAGTTGTATGATGGGGATGCCAACACAAGGTTCTTCCACATAACCGCTCTCAACAGAAAGAGGAGGAACATGATTCTATGCTTAAAAGATGAAGTAGGTAACCTAATTTAGGAACCTCAGCACATCAAAGACACCATCTTGGGTTATTTCAATAATCTTTTTACCACAACCTACCAATCATCTACCTGGAACACTTCATATAATACTGATAGACCTCTAGTTCTATCCAACAGTGACAAAGAAACTATGGACCTTCCCCTTAGGTTATCTGAAATCAAGAATGTCATTAATTCTTTCAAACCTCTGAAAGTACTTGGGCCTGATGGACTCCATCCCCTATTCTACCAGAAATACTGGTATATCCTTTCTAGCCAGGTCAACAACTTATGCCAGAAGGTATTCTCCACATCCATAATTCCCTCTGATATGAATAGAACCTACTTATGCCTAATTCCCAAAATGCCATAATGCTACAGTACTAAAGAACTTTAGACCAATTGGGCTGTGAAACATCATATACAACCTGGTCACAAAGATCATTGTGAATAGGATCAAGCCAATCCTTCACATTATCATTGGCCTCACTCAGGCTAGTTTCCTATCAAATAGAAAAGTTGCAAACAATTCTATTATTGTCCAGGAATACATCACTCATTTTCAAAAAATAAAAGGAAAAAATGTCAACATGATCCTAAAGATTGAGCTAGAAAAAGTATTTGATAGACTTGAGTGGTTCGTCATTAGGACTCCCTGTTGTTCTTTAACTTCCCAACTAGGCTGATCAAGCTGATCTTTTCTTGTCTTTCTTCTAGCTCTATTTCTATTCTGGTCAATGGGAACCAAACCAGCTACTTCAACCCAACTAGAGGGATCAGACAGGGAGACCCCATCTCTCTATATCTGTTCATAATCTGTATGGCAAGGCTATCAAGGACAATTGAGATTGCAGTACTTAGGAAAGATTGATTCCCCACCAACATCAGTAGGGGTAGTCTCAAAATATCACACATATTATTTACTGATGACCTTACTCTGTTTGCTAGAGCCAATAGAAAAAACTGTGATACTATCTTGGCTTCCATAGAGGAGTTCAATGCTGCTTCAGGATTGAAGGTCAACTTCCTGAAATCCAAGGTTATTTTCTTAACCAATTGTAAGGATGATTGGGCCAACCTATATAGATCCATGTTAGAAATTAGGAAAAGCACAGATTTTAACAAATGCCTAGGCTTTTCCATCTTCCACAAAAGACCCATAAATAATTATTTCCAATTCAGCATGGATAACATGAATACAAAGCTTGTAGGTTGGAAAACCAAGTTCTTAAACATGGCTGGCCGTACAACATTTGCATAGTCAAGCCTAGGAATTATCCCCAGCCATGTGATGCAAAAAATGAGACTGTCATCCCATATAACTAACCAAATAGACAGAATCCAAAGGAACTTTATTTGTGCACCACATCGGAAAAAAGAAATCTACACTTAGTTAAATGGGATACAGTGACTAAGACAAAAAATGGAGGGGGGGAGGGGGGGAGGGGGGAGGGACTTGGTTTACAACAAGACCAGATGAAGAACAAGTCTAGTCACGCAAACCTAGCCTGGAGAATGTATCACAACACAGACACAATTTGGGCTAGAGTCTTTTCGGGAAAAATATTGTAGTCGGAGGCAGAGTAGGGTTAAAGCCAAAACTAGGACATGGCAATGCATTCAGGAGGAATGGAAGGTATGCACAAAAGCTTCTAGGTGGGCGGTTCATAAAGGGGATATAGTGAACTTCTTAACTAACAACATCCCTAACATGCAACCACTCCACTCCATCTTTCCAGGCCCCTAGCAAAATAATGAAATGACTTTGAATTTAATTCAATGTACTCCAATGGGGAGTGAAACTTTAGTATTGTAGACTACCCCATTCCTTAGGCCATCTCCAATGTTATCCAGTCTACTTTTATCCCCTATACTACCAATGCTGAAGACAAGCTAATCTGGAACCTCACAAGCAATGGGATATTCAGTGCAAAAATTGCCTCCTCTTTCATTGATTATGATTTGAGCACAATAATGCCCAAGATGACCAATTTAGCTGGATATGGAGGCTTAAGGTCCCAAATAAAATTAAAATATTCACTTGGCTCGTGCAACATAACAGGCTGCCAATATCAAATACCTACATCACATTGGCATGATTATCAAACCCATCTGCTACTTCTGTAATACAGATGTGGAAGACATCAACCACATTTTCTTTGACTGTATCAATGCCAAAATTTTCTAGGTGAAATTATAACTTGAATGCACTAACCATGCATGCTATCCTTTCCTCTCTTTCTCCATGCAAAACTGGGAATAAACCTGGAATAAGCTAAAGAAGATGCCTTTCAATGACATAATTGGTTGGAAATTCCTACTACCTTTCTGCTTCTGGAGCATCTGGCTAACTAGAAACAATAATGTATTTGATAAAAAGAGAAACTACATCCCTGTTGATCAAACCATTGCTAGGGATGTGTAATACTATCATGTGGCAGTGCACCATAGAGCCACCACAAACACAACCACCATTCACGTAAAATGGCAACCACCAGTTATTGGGTACTATATATTAAATACTAACGGGATGCATGTACTACCACATGAATAGGGGGAGTTAGTGGAGTATTCAGGAATAACAGGGGAGACTGGGTGTACCTTACATGAAGGGGATGCCACATACTACTAGTATCATGGCACAATTCCAAGCCCTTTGGCAGGGACTAAATATTACACTTGACCATACTCTAATACCCCTAGAGATCAACACTGATTCTGAACTAGTTATAAAAATGTTAAAGCATGGAAACTTCCATTATAACTCCATTATTTATGAATACAGATTCCATCTGGGGAGCCCAGCACCAGGACATAGCTTCAGGGAGCAGAACCAAGTAGCGGACCTCCTCGCCAAAGAAGGTGCCAGAAAAGAAATTTTTGAAAGGATCGATCTTTTTGGCAGTTCCTCTAGTGTTTGCAAACGTCGCAATGTGGGCAGACATCCTAGGAACTGTATTTACAAGAAAAATTAATGTTTGTAATACTAGTATGATGCTAGACAATAAATATGGAACTCATGGGAGCTCAGCNATATATATAAAATCAATCATAACATATTAAAATACACTCATATATAAAAATTCTCTTACACAGCTATTAGTTTACATAATTTAACACTTTTAAAAGTTGTGTTCATAGATTTTTGTTGATAATTCGTCCTCGATCAACTTAATGGCCAATTTTCAGTCAACATCATAATAGGGGTTAACACATGCTCGAGCCATATATATTTACATGTAAAAACACAATAAAACACACAAACACACTTTTTTTTCATTCTTTCAACTCACACATTTTCTTTATTACATTCTTCTAACATCTTAAACTCAAACTTCTCCTCCTCCTTCCTCTTCTCTGCAACTAATTAACATGACTGACAACACTTCGTTGTGTTATTTCCATCCCAAAGTAGTGGTTGTGGGAGTATGTGCTTTGTGCTTATATGAAAGGCTTCTGGTCTTGGCTTCTAAGCAAGAAAAGAGCAATAAGAAGAAGAGAGATCAACACTACTACAGTTTCTTGAGTGCAGAAAAGAAGAATGACGATCATCATCAATCAAGAATTCATTATCTGCCAAAGATGTTTGCTTTGAGCTCTCTTCTCAGTCGCCTTGACATTAGACATGACCGGAAAGTCGAAGAGATTATTCGTGATCCTACTCATGATGATGCTTCCACTTGCAGTTATGAAGGTTAGCATTAATTTCTTTTTCCTCCTTTTTTTTCCTATTTAGCATAACCGGAACCAGAATTTGAAGTTATAAATTTTGAATTTTTCATCTAAATCATAGCTCACTGTGGTTTCCCATTTTGCAATTAAATATTTATATATTTTCAACAAATTTTTTAATATAAATACGAGATTTAAGCAAAAACTACTTGGTTCGTCTGAACCCTTAGCTAATATATATTATATCTTTATTATCAGGAGGCGAATTCAAAGTTTAAATTTGATGAGTTCGACTTTTTAATATTCAAACAGCTGAAACCATTACATTTTTGTAATTATGGATTCAGAATTTTGTGTTTTTGAAAATTTACTACTTTTTCAGATAAACATATTTATGCTCTATGTGAAAAATGTTGGATCAAATCTATCGCATCCGTCTCTGTCACTACCCATCCTTGCCCCACCTTTTTTTAATTTTCCTTTTGGACAAACCCCCTTTCTTGAGAAGTTATGATGTTCTTGAAGTATTCAGCCTTTACTTTATCTTGGTTCTATATATTTAGACATTTATGTGGTAGTAAGTATTATAGGATAAAATAGCTAAATTAATGTGGCCTCAAATCTTACTATTACTTTAAGTTCTGTTTATCTAAAGTCACAACGGCCAGTAATTTTGAAAATTAGGTAACAAATGAATAACTACCACCGAATAAGTGCCATTACTTTTTATCATTAGTTAAGGGCCTTTTAGTTTTACTTATAGATATTTTTAATTATAGCGTTCTGTTTTCATGGTTGAGTTTCGAGCAAACTTTCCATACAAAGTGCATGTAGTTACATAATGATGTGTTACGTAAAACTTGCATACAAATTATAGCTACTATAGTAGTATTTTTGTTGCGTACTTATAACTCTGCAATAATTAATAATGCTAATTTATTGCTAAAGTCAAATTGAATATGACTATTGAGAACTTTTCTCCTCTTTTCCTTCTTTCACTTTACCCATTGTTTTGACGAGGCCTTTGTATATATGAGGAGTAACAATGTTTTCCTTAATTTTTAAGACATTTTTCTTCTATTCTTCTTTTTATTGCTTGTATATAATACAACAATGATTGTTTCTCTTTACTTCTATTTTATATTTCCTCCTTTTTTTGCTTATTCGTTGATGATGAAAAAATATGAATCCCTTTAGATGCACGTAAAATATATAACAATAATTAATTGTTTTACTCATTGACTTCTCTATTTTTCTAGTTCCCCTTTTCCTCTTCATTTTTTTTTCCTTTCTTGAATAAGGTTAACTCTAATTTATAACTTTTTGTAGACTCTTTTATATCAATAAAGTTTGAAAATAATGGAGTTGCCTCATGGGAGAAGGGAGCTGCTGGCACAGTACCAAAGGTGTCACTTAAGCACTGTGACAATATGTCTAATTGGAGTAGAAGCTCAAGCAAGGAGAGCAAAGGAGGAGCAGTAATAGAGCATGCAAAGCCACGTATGCAGCTTAGGTGGCGAAAGCGGATTGGACACATTTTCCAGCTCATCAGATTGAAGAGATCATCCACCACCAAATTAGAAGGAGTGAAGGTGAGACCTGGATGGATAAGAACTCTGACAAAGAGAAAGACCAAAGAATGATTCATAATTCATAAGGTGGCAAAAACTAAATCAAAGGGGCTTGTCCTTAAAAAAGTAAAGAAAAAGAGAGAGAAAAAAAGAGAGCTACATTTCATCCACTTACTCTCCTATCTTTTTTTCCATTTACAAGGTGTGAATGAATGGAAAATAACTTTTGTGAAGATTGGCTTAGCATTATCATACCATAGAAATTGTTTTTTTAGTCTTTCCCTTTTTACTTGTTTGGCATATCTTGTGTATCCTAAAATGAGTGACAACACCATGTTGTAGCCACTTCTTGAATTGTCTACAAAAAAGGGAGCCTCAAAACAATTCTCTCCTCCCATATGCTCCATCGGTCTATATTTGTGCGTATAGCTATTGCCAACCCATGTTATTGGCTCTTTTTGAAAGTGAAAATGGCAAAAAGTCCAATATAAATGCTTCACAAAAGGAAGAAAGAGGGAACAGGGGCCATACCTCCTATGCTTCGACGTAACTTGTCCTCTAGTTGTCTTGGTCAAAGACATCTTCTCTCTTGCTTCCCACACTACAATATCAATTGCAATAATTGACAGCTTTTGCTTTTTACTTGATAAGACAATTCTTGGAAAGTTTATGTAAATTTTTGCTTGTCCAAACTACTTACTCCAATATTATTGCGTCTGAGTGCATTTGGTGAGATTTTGCAGCATGCCAAAAAGAAACAATGCCATGTTATTAAGCTTTACTGTCATTTTGAATTCTAATCCTATTAACATGTTCTACTACGTAGTTTTTCCTCCTAAGTTCGATCAATATTTCCTTTAATAAATACACCTTGAAAATCTCCCCTCCTCCCATCCAATAGCAAAGCCAAGAGTTCTAATAATAAGATTCAAAAAATTGTTAAAATGATAAATCCGAATTTCAAACATGCCACCTAAAATAATTTTAAAAAAATTTACTACTATGCCAGAAGCTTCAATAATTATATATACAAAATTCAACAATTATATATACATAAAAAAAATTATTTTTTACCTACTTGCACAATCCAATTTTTCGACTAAGGACTTCAATTAAATCCCTTCATGCAAGGGAGCTCTACTCCTGCTCCCAGGGGCATAGTCACATAGAAATTTCGCCATCCTCCACGTGCAACCCCATCCGTCAATGGAGTATGTGATAATTAATAAGATATTATAGCTATATATATCTCCATGTGCAAAGCACATAGAGGGGGTCCTTCCTATTGTGAACGCTGTTGGGGCTGGTGAATAAGCAGCTTGCGGAAATTCTCCCCTATATGTTTGCATTCTTAGCCAAAAGGGACCATATATATATATATATAGTTGAAGAAGGACCACCATTAGTATGATGTTGAAAAAAGGAGACCAATGGGGTGGAACAGAAAATGACATCACATCAATCCCAGACTTCCCTAACGACATACCTCTAACTATTTATCCTTATTGAATGATATTCTAGTTGAAGAATGAATAAGCTTCTTCAACTCCGGGTAAAAAAAGAAATCTTTATTCGTCTTTGAATAAATTTAATTAACCACATATATAGTTTAAACAGCATATCAGTTTTTCTTTAATGAAAGTAGATCACTTGAATCGCGACTAGAATTTTCGATCATAAAAATCCTTACAAGATGGATGAATTCTGTTATTTTGAATTTTCGATTAGAAGGATGAATTCCGTTATTTCATAGCCAAAATCAATTTTGCTTTTGCAGAGATGATGAAACCTTAGAATTGTGTTTTCTTGCTTGAAGTATCTTTTTCTTTCCACACTTATGGCGATATATTTAGATGTTTTTTTTAATTAGGATTTGGATGGTCATTTAATTAATTAAGAAATTGGGGTTGGAATAATTAATAATGGTCCTAGAACCCGTTATGGGTGGAGCAGTCCTAAACCTCAAACATCTTCTGCTCACACAATATTATTTTCACGACCCAAAATTCAACTAGTCGTTAGGCACCTAACCCAACCTACTAGGTGCCTAACGAATCTACTCGAGGCCTAAAATCACGCATAACAATATCAAAATCACGAATCACGCCTCAAATCGAACTTAATGAACTTGGATCTTTCAACTTTCAAAACTCGTGCCGAACCTTATCAAATCAACTCGGAATAGGCTCAAATTTTGCACACAAGTCCCAAATGACATAACGAAACTATTTCAATCCGTGGAACCAGAATCCGAAGCCGATATCTTCAAAGCCAACTCCTGGTCAAACTCATGAACATTCCAAACTTTCAAATTTCCAACTTTCGCCAATAAGTGCCGAAACCTTCTAGAAATATCCAAATGCAAATCCGAGCATACGTCCAAGTCCAAAATCATCATCTGGACCTAACGGAACCATCAAAATTCCGAACTGGGATCAAATACTCAAAAGTCAACATTGGTCAACTCTTCTAACTTAAAGCTTCCTGGTTGAGAATCATTCTTCCAAATAAAATTCGAATTACCTGAAAACCAAATCCGACGATTCACACAAGTAATAATACATCATACGAAGCAAATCAAGACTTCTTATGGCTAAACATAATGCAAATGCTCAAAACGACCGATCAGGTCGTTACATTCTCCACCCTTAAACATACGTTCGTCCTCGAACGTGTCCAGAATCGTCCCAAAGCCATCAAATTGCTGTGTAAACTTACCATGTACATACCCAGGGGTGATCCCACGTCACCCTATTCCATATAGGCCCGACAACACATCATAACTGAAGATCATTACTTAAACCTTATCTCATAAGCCTTAGAACCCAATTTCTAACATCTGGAATTCCTTACAAGACCCGAATCTCGCATCTACCCACGGTATAATTCTGAACAAGCTATATCAAGACATAACTATAACCCAAGATGTAATTAGATGATATACCGCACAACTCGCATACTCGTGGCAATAATCCCCGATCACAGTAGCTGCTAAAAATAAACCCGATACTGGTAACAAACCTCATATCAATTAAAACCCTGTTTGAAACCTTCGTACATTGCCGATGATGAAAGAAACACACAAAAACTCATAACTACTCATCAGATCAACAAGTCATGGAGCCCTCTCGCCTAACCAGAACCATAGCCCCAAATTCTAAGCTGTCCTCCGATATTACTCTCCCAAACACACTGTAATCAAATTCGATAGCAATTACTTCAGGCCCAAAGACTTCACCTTATCACATAAAAGCTACTTTACTGACATGACACACCAATACTTTTTAGAGCCACAAATCGTACAATCCGTGCACCAATAGGTAACAACTCAGATGTACTCAACATGGAAAACTGACTCAAATGAGAGAACTGTCCCGCAAGCTCAATAATTACTACCACAACTGCAATGCTATGAACCCATCATACATAGTAGAACCAAGACACACGAATCTAACACAAAGGATCATATCCCAACATAACCCCGCTGCAATGCGTGACCCATCCAAACACCGATCCATATGAAATACCTCAAGCCGCAATGCTCAAAATCAACAACCACATACAATTCGACATCAAGTGCATGAAATGCATGACCATAACCATGGAGAAGCAAATAACACAATACCACAATCCGGAAAGACTATAACCATGGCGCAATCAACCATTTAACACCCCAATAACCATCTCGCTCGAATTCTGCTATAAGGCCCAAATAGAACCGCATCGGGTGTGCTTATAACCAACAAATCACAACCCCTCGTAGTATAGAAGAGTAACACATAGAACATATCAGAACAAGGACAAGATCAACTCTAACCGAATAACACACTTTTTAGTAACAACGATGCCGAGTCAGCAAATCCGACCCGGTGTAGAATACACATCCTCATTGGGCCTACCAATGGCCCCCCAAATCAACTCTGGTCATCCCCAAATGGATAAATGGCCTTTCAAAAGTCCACAATGACCTAACCATAGCACATACTTAGGGGTGTTCATAAAAACTCGAAAAACCGAACCAAACCGAAAACCAAACCAAACCGACTAAAAAAATTGATACGTTTTAGGTTTGATTTGGTTTTGGTTTTATATTTTAAAAACCGATCAAATTTGATTTGGTTTTGATTTTAATAAAAAAATAACCGAAAAAACTGAATCAAACCGACTATAAAAGTAGCTATTTAAATTTACTATTACACCTATATATATGTATATTTTTATATAAAGTTTCTGAAATTTTATGGTACATATTAGTCATTTGTATTTTTAGTCTAATTCTTTGCTATTATAATAATCTAGTTCTTTGCCTTCTAGTTTGATTGGTAGTTTTCTTTTGCTAAGTACAATAATTTATTTCATATTAAAAATAATTGATTTTTAATTGAGTACTTAAATTATTCATCACTATTTGAGTCAATTATCATCAATATATCTTGGTAAATGGTAGATTTTCAAAGAGCAATTAGTTTGATAGCGTTACGTTGAAAATATAGTCGTCAGAATATGCGTTTGGTAGTGTATGTCTCATATTTAAGGAAAAACCGATAAATAACCGAAAAAACCAAAAAACTGACAAAAACCGACAAAAACTGAATTGATAAAAAACCGACTTAATTGGTTTGGTTTAGATCCAATATTTGAAAAACCGACTTACTTGGTTCGGTTTCTTTTTAGGGAAAAACCAACCCAAACCGAACCATGAACACTCCTACACATACTACCATCTAGATAATTTTGGCCACATCTTCATAGTCCGCAACCCCGAAATAATCTGTTTCTAAGAACTCCTAGTCTCCAAATCCATAGAACACATGAATCACCATTGCCGATCCCAACTCCACCACTCGAATGACTAACACATCTCTCATACATAATCATTCCTACGAGAAATATTTCAATAATTCTTCGATGCCACACAACATGATTTGAACATCAACAGTCGATTAACCACGCGAGTACCACAATGCCAATGAAGCATCCGTAAGTCAAAACACAATGCGCCTTCTAAAGTGCGCACCCTTCTCAGGAAATACCAAGTAGTAATAGCATTCATCTAGTCGTCTGGAACCGTCCATGTTGTCTAAGAATTCATGACCTTTCCCTCAAAAATGAACTGTGATCTTGCACATACAAATATCAATCCTACACGACACACTGCATTTATTAGGCCATTATATGAAAACACGAGAACCTTATTATCAACTTTGAGTCACAAGCAGACTACATACTCAATTAGCCAGGAACCTTTCACAAGATCCCATCCAGTAGAAAATCACAATACGCAACATG